GACTCCTGGCTGCAGGTCAGGGATTTGGTCTTGCCATTTGCGTATATCCAAGAAATTATGTAGGTGTAACCTCTGCAGTGACACTCTACGGCAGTGAGAACCTGGGACAGTTGCAGATTGAGCAGACACCAGTTCCTCTGTGCCTGATGTCTGAAGAGGCCCCATTTTTGTTTTCATTTGGCCTCCCCGGGGTATTAGGACAATTTGTTGGGAGCTGAGGAAACTTCCAAAGGAAAATTCTGGATTTCTTGCTTTTAATACGGGTGAGTGCTTAAGAGATGGATCGGAAAAATAAGTGTAATGTGATGGTATTTGTGCTCTGAGTTTATGGAGCAGTTCATACCCGTTATACTAATCATTCCAGAGGGGGTCGTGAGATCCTGAGTGAGATTTGGTCTTAACTTTTGCCTTGAGGATTACAGGAGGATTGGTTCTTCGGATGGGAGGAGATTGTCTGTTTCCTGGGCAGGGGGGTGGTGAAGAATGAGGTACATTTGGGGTCCAGTCAGAGGTTGTTAGCCTGGGTCCTGAGTCTGTCAAGGGGAGTTGGGGGAAGAGATGAAACTGTAGGTGACTTCTGGGCCGTGGAGGGCCTTGAATGCCTCACTAAAGGGTTTGGGGTACAGCTTTGGCCACTTGGGAGGAGTGGGTCTCTCTGGCTGTAACTCTAAGGGGTTTTGGGGCTGAAAAAGCTCCGTCTCCTGAGTGCTGACACAGTCTCCAAGATGGCCACCCGTCTGGGTATCCCAGCACTATCAGCTCTCAAACTCCTTATCCACAGTTCATTCTCAAAAAACAGCCAACGCGGCAGCTCCGGGTGGCCAGGATTGCAACACTAAATGTGTTTGTTCCCCATGTTTGTGAAATACCTCAGAGGCACTGTTCCAGTGCCACCTGACTAGTTTTCTGATTGCTACACGGCCCTGGCTCTATCTGCCAATACCCAACCGGGGCTGACTGGTCAGAGATTTTGAGATGTTTGTGGGTTCAAACATAGAAACCTCATTAGTGTCTGCTCGGGTGAGGCAATTTTACCTCCTCAAAGCTTCTGAATAACACTTATTGAACTTGGAGGCAGCTCTGGTGGCCTGGAGTAAGCAGGGTGACCTTGGACTAGTCACCCAATCTCTCTGAGCTTTAATTCCTTTAACTGTGTAATGAGGATACTAATTCTTACTTTGCAGGACTATGACCCACAGATGGTATACAGATGGAAAGTCAGGGAATCAGGCTTCCTGCTCCTATAGGTCACTAAAGGCAAGTGTGACCTCAGATTTCCAAGTTGTTAAAATTCAATCTTGCATTTAATTTTTGCAAATGAATTACTGTCAACCTTTGAGAGCAGGAAGAAGCCTGGCTAATATATAACATCATGGGAACTCAGAAGACCCTGAAAATTGGCTAAGGATTAGTCCGTGGTTCTGTGCCCAAGAAAGTGGGCTGCAAGGGACATGAGGCCTTGGGTGTCACTTCCTTCATTGACCTCCTACCAAAGGGAAAAAAACTGAAGTTGCGGAGGGGAGGGGCCAACCGTTTTGGGGCTTTTATTTTTATTTTTGAGATAGAGTTTTGCTCTTGTTGCCCAGGCTGGAGTGCAATGGCGTGATCTTGGCTCACCACAAGCTCCGCCTCCAGGGTTCAAACAATTCTCCTACCTCAGCCTCCTGCGTAGCTGGGATTACAGGCATGCACGACCACATCCGGCTAATTTTTTGCATTTTTAGTAGGGATGGGTTTTCTCCATGTTGGTCAGGCTGGTCTCGAACTCCCGACCTCAGGTGATCTGCCCACCTCAGCCTCCCAAAGTGCTGGGGTTACAGACTTGAGCCACCGTGCCCAGCTTTTGAGGCTTTTATTATGTGCCAAGCACACAGAGAGTAGTTTTGCATGTGTTTTCTCATTTTGTCATCTCCTCCATTCTAAGAAGTAGTCAGTATTATCCCTAAATAAAAGTTACTCATTCAGTAAATATTTGTTCTGTGATTACTGTCTGCTAGCTATTGTTCTAGGAAGTAGAGCATATGAGAAACTGAGGTCCAAGGTGGTGAGAGGACTTGTTCAAGGTCACATAGCTGCCGTGCGGCCAATCTGCATACAATCCCACCTCTCCTGGGGTTTATTCCAAGGTTGTTTTCATTCCAGGTGCTGGACAGACACAGACACACATATATGTACATACATGTACATACACCCAAACACATCCACCCTCATGTGCACATACCTGCATACGCACACACATAAGCACACGCAGACACGTGCACATGCACATCATGCAAACACACACATTTTAACACACACACTAATGCTCACATACAAATACGCATGCATGAATATGCCCACAGATGCATACCACATATACTATTCTAACACATATTCACAAACACACGTGCACTATGCCATTTATTGGGGAAAATAGTTTTCAAACTTTTGGCATGCTTCAGATCCGCAATATTGCAGACACAGTCTCAAAGATTTTATTCTCTGTAGCTCCCTCCCTCCCTCTGTCTCTCTCTCCCTCTCTTTCTTCCCTTCTTTTCCTTCCTTTCTTTCTCCCTCCCCATCTCTTCTCTTCCTCCTCCTTTTTCTTCTTTCCCTCCCGATTCTGAGACCAGACTTCTCTTCCTTTTTCTAGCCAATAAATCTTTTTTTTTTTTTTTTTTTTTTTTTTAAAGACAGACTCTTACTCTGTTGCCTAGGTTGGAGTGTAGTTGTGTGATCTTGACTCACTGCAACCCTTGCTTCCGGTGTTCAGGTGATCCTCCAGCCTCAGCCTCCTGAGTGGCTGAGACCACAGCTGTGAACCACCATGCCCGGCTACATTTTTTTGTATTTTTTGTAGGACAGGGTTTCATCATGTTGCTCAGACTGGTCTTGAACTCCTGAACTCAAAGCAATTCACCCTCCGTGGCCTCCTAAAGTGCTGGGATTACAGGCATGAGCCACTGTGCCTGATCTACCCATGAAATCTTAGGGAATTATCAGGACTGCCAGACTCAGGTTGGAATTTTCAACCAGAAAGTAAAGACTCCCTCCAAGGCTACCAAAAGCTGAATCTGTTTGCCTAATTCTGCCTTGGTTCTTTCCCCCATGCAGCTGCATAATCCCCAGAAATCCCTCCCCACCACCAGGCATGGCATGCTCAGGTTCAAGTCAAGCTCTTGCTTGGGTGTTCCCAGCCCCAGCACCCACCTACCTGCTCTCCCGTGCATGTGCCAAGTGCCTGCAAAGGCCTCTTCCAAGAGTTTCATCACCCCTCAGGGTGGGGATGCATCTATTTCTGTGTTTCAACACTTTGCTTCCACCTGGCATTTCATTTGCCAGCTAATACATGAAGTAACTCATCTTGCTACTGGCAACATGGAAGCCGTGCTTTATGGGGAGCTGTGCTCTGGTCCATAAAGCATTTTTGTAGGGGCATGGCAAGTCCAACCTGGAGTCCTTAGTGGCCACCTGGAGGTAGGCCAGGTCGCTGGGCTTCAGTCCAGCTGATCAGTACAGGCAGTCAAACTCTTCAGAGTATTTCATCATCCCAGCAGCTCAAGGTGGGGGTGGTGGAATTTGAGAAACTTTGGCAACTCCCATGTTTCAGTCCCTGAAGAGTGCCAACAGAGTCACCTTTCCCAACTCATCTATTTTCCTTGGTATCAGGGACATCTCTCACCCAATAAATCTAAATCGCCTTTGCTTTTACCATGAAAGGATCTTGAAAGCCTGGTTAGAGACTCCAAGTTCTCACTGGGACCGTTGGACTCCAGGGTCTAGCATTTACCCAACTGGCCACAATTGCCCAACTGGATGCATTTGCTAGAGGCAGGTCGTTGAGTTCAAGTGCTTGTAAACAATTCGCAGGCAGCAGGTACAGTCAATTCTGCAGATAGCCTAGGAATGGTTTTAGCAGCATGCACGTCGTCTGGGCAAGCTCCCTGTATTACATGCACACTCAAAAACACATATTCACACACACACACACACACACACACATATCCCACTGGAGAAGACAAAAACAGGAAGATGGAAATAGGAGCTCTAGTGAAGATGATGTTGTGGAAGAGAACAGCGCCCCATAAGAGATAGGGAAACCAGGACCAGGTGCCTCATGGGCATGGGGCCAGACTTTGGGATAGTTTAGTGATAAAGAAATGGACTTCCGATGGGGTTTTCCTGGGCACTGAGCCGATAGTCTTATATGGTGATTACTTACGATCCAGTCTTATGTTGTAACTAGACCATAAACTCTCAGTGGGTGGGGATCAGGGCTCATGCTTATTTTCCCTCTCCTGTTTCACCCTAACTCAGAGGCTTATGCATAGACAGGGTTGAATAACTACCTGAAAGGAAAGGAGCTTAGGCTACATTTATATCACATGCTGTCATGTTCAAACCTTTTCCCCTGACTTAGCCCCTTCTGGTTGCTGAGCTCACTTTCAGGCATGTGATCCCCTTCCCTCCCTTACAAGGCACCTATTACCATATGGAACAGCATCAGACTTCAATGAGCTGTCTTCTAGCAGGGTGGCAAGATTTATACATACAGAGCAGCATGTGATCACAGGCCACAGTGGATTCACTGGAGCGATGTAAGGTTTAGAGAATACATCGGTCCTGTGACAGCCAGTAAGAGGAGCATTTATCTCCTCCATTAAGAGGACCTGCCAGGGAGGCATCCTTGGAGTAAGTGAGATTAAGGGGTGGCCTTGTGGGAAGGAAGAGAAGAGGCTGGTTCAGGCCAAAGGAATGGTGCGAGGAAAGGGACAGTGCTGGGCTCACAGAATCGTTTGCTTAGTCTTCCTCTTGTTTACTCATTCATTCATCCAAAAATACTTACTGAGCCCTGCTCTGTGCCAGGCACTGTTCCAGTCTTTAGGGACAGAGCTCTGGGCATGTCTAGTCCATAAATTTTATAAAGATAACTAACAAATATTACAAGTGAAAAAAGCATTTGCTAGAAAAGCACTGGGTGTCTTAAGGGCATTGGATAGGCAGGGGCAGGAGGGCTAACAAAGGCTGAAGGGTAAAGGGGGCAGCCTGGAAATGTGACACGAGGGGATGGGGAATAGCAAGAAGTGTGACAAGCATGAAGTTCCAGGAACAGGAACAAGCTAGGATCTCAAACGTCACTTGAAGTCCTGTGTGGCCAGAGTGTAGGAAGTTTAGGGAAGGGCAGTGGGGTAGAGGGAGGAGTGAGTGAGCAAGGGGTGGATGGAAAGGTGAGGAGTAGGGGGTGGATGAGGTCAGGCAGAGGTCATACAGAACCTTCTGGGCCATGATAAGGATTTTGAACTTTAAGATAAGCCAAGCAAGTGATGCTGTTGACTTGAAAGCAGTACAAACCATGTAAAGATGCAGTAGCCCCATGAAATATTCAGGACAGGAATTTCTAGGGTGGGGAGTGAAGGGTGAGGGAAGCATTGAGGATGGGTCTGGGGCTCCTTGCTTAAGTAACTGGTCAGGTGGGGCTTCTGTTTACTGAGGTAAGGAGCACGGAAGGGGGGCAGGTTTGTGGGGGACAGGTATTAGGGGATGACATAGTTTTGCAAATGTGGGTTGGAGGGTTTATGAGATTCCTGTATGGGATACTGAAGATTTCCAACTGGAACCCCTGAGAAGATTTCCTCTTTTTCTTTCTGCTTTTCCTTTCCTGGGCCTGGGTCTCTTCAATATGCAAGATCTTATATTGTCACTAGCCCTGGTTGGCTGTGAGAGGAGAGGACGACTGCTAAGTATCTATTCCAAGGTGGATTAGTCCATTTTTCTTTGCTATAAAGAAATATCTGAGACGGGCAATTTGTAAAGAAAAGAGGTTTATTTGGCTCACGGTTCACAGGCTGTGCAAGCATGGCACCAGCATCTACTTGGCTTTTGCTGAGGCCTCAGGAAGCTTTCACTCATGGTAGAAGGTGAAGGGAGAACTGGCATATCATGGTGAGAGAGGAATCAAGAGAGAGGGACAGAGGAGGAGGTGCCAGGCCCTTTTAAACAACCAGTTCTTTTGTGAATTACAGCACCAGAACTCACCCATTACTGTAGGGAGGGCAACAAGGCATTCATGAAGGATCCACCCTGCCATGACCCCAACACTTCCCAGTAGGCCCCACCTCCAACATTGGGGATCATTACATTTTAACATGAGATTCGAAGGGGACACAGATCCAAACTATATCACCAGGTAAGCACTACTCCCAGTGTATGAAGGTTCATTGGGAGGTCTGTTGGAATGATAGAAATTATTCCATTCCATTTCATCCCATTCATTTTCAACTCAACCAGTGTTTTCTATGTGCCTGCCCTGTACCCAGCACAGGCTCATGGGGTAAACATGACCAATGGGGAGGCAGACATGCAGGATAAAGTTTTATACTTTCTAGAAGCATAGACCAAGTATTCTGGAAGAGTCAAGAGATACCTGAACTCATTTCCTCATGTTTTTCAGAAGCGGAAACTGAGGTCCAGAGAAGTGAAGAAACTCCCCTGAGTTGACAAAGTGTTTAAAAGCAGAGGCAGAGCTGGAACCCAGTCCTGAGTCCATGTTTTTCAGTGTTGTATGAGGCCTCCTACTGGGACATGTCTTTCCCTAAGTGACATGACACACAGGGTAGGAGAGTTTGATAGGCAAGAACTCTAGCTCCAGAGTCAGACAATTCTGGGTTCAAATTCCTGCTCTGATATTGGTGACTTTGGGCAAGTTATCAATAAGCTTTGGTTTCTCTATTTCTTTTTTTGTTGTTGTTGAGACGGAATCTCGCTCTGTCGCCCAGGCTGGAGTGCAGTGGTGTGATCTCAGCTCACTGAAACCTCTGCTTCCCTGGTTCAAGCAATTCTCCTGCCTCAGCCTCCCAAGTAACTGGGATTACAGGCATGCACCACCACGCCTGGCTAATGTTTGTATTTTTAGTAGAGATGGGGTTTCATCATGTTGGTCAGGCTGGTCTCAAACTCCTGATCTAATGATCCACACTCCTTGGTCTCCCAAAGTGCTGGGATTACAGGCACGAGCCACTGCGCCTGGATGGTTTCTTTATTTCTAAAGTGAATAATAGTACCTCTGGAACTAATAACAGTGCCTCCAACATCTGCCTATATTGTGGATTGAGTAGTGTTTATAAAGCATGACTGACTCACCACATCTCACCCCCTGCACTGCTACTACCCTGTCATCATGGGCTTGGAGGTGGGCTATTTTTTGGGTCTGCTTTCACCCTAGAAATAGCAACTAAGTGGAGCTTCTTGTGTAATTGATTTATTAAGTAAGAGGTATAGGAGAACCTTGTATGGAAGTGTAGGAGTTGGGAGGGGGCAATGGAAGGGTTCAGCATAGACATGGTTTCCGCCGGAGAGCAGCCGCAATCTGATTCCATGGGCAGTCTGAAGCACGAATGACCCTACAGAGCTGGCCCCTCCTTGGGCAAAGGGGCTGGGTGTTCTACTTCCAGTTAGTTGGGGGTGTGTGACTCCTAGGCATTTCCCTGTGAGATGGTTCCCGACTATCCACAAAGGTAATACTTGGGAGAAGAGCGCATTGCTCACGGCAGCTTGCAGGTGGGTGCATTGGCTAAGACCGCAAAGAGATCTTGGGCGAGGCCCCAATCTGGTGCTAGCACATCTTTAAACACTCATGAATTTCTCTTTCTAACAAAGGGAGGACAAATCTGAGACAATGGAGTCTACCTAGCCTTAACTGAATTAAGACTGCAGTTGTTTGGATTGCTCCTGCATTTTCATGGCAAATGATACTGCATTTCTACTTGATAGTGATAAAAATTTCATTTGGAAACAAGTGCATTTACATTAAAAGACTGGGTTGATTTAAAGGTATTTTAGCAAACGATGGTACAGGTGGTAGGTGAATAAAGCAAACAAAATACAGGGCCCTCCAGAATATTGGAGTTTGAGGGAGACCGTGTTTGCACATAGAACAGGAAAGATCCAAGATCCCAGATTGAAGCAGGGAATTTATCTTTCATTCTCGGTGGCCCTGGACGACTCATTGCATTAGTGAAGAAAGCACTGTACCAAGAGGACCTGCTGTGTAGTCTGAGCAAATCATTCATGTTCCAATCAGCCCATGTGGGAACTAAAGAGGATTATATTGGTTGCTAGTGTCAGAAACACAAATAAGCTTCTTCAGGAAAGGGGCCTTATTGGTTCTTGTCACTGTGAAGTTCTGAGATAAGACAGCTTCAGTCCTGGTTGGATCCAAGGATTTCAAGCATCTTCCCTCTCCTACCTAAATCCCCAGAATTGAGTCTGGCAAGCTTCAGATAAGTGGAAGTTTCTGATTGGCTAGGCCTTGGTCATGTGTCCATAGGTGGGTGGAAGATGCTGATTGGCCAGTCCTTGGTCATGTGCCCACAGGTGGGTGGAAGGTTCTGACTGGCCAGGCTTTGGTCATGTGCCCATAGTGGCTGGGCAGTATAAAGTGTGGGAGAGCAGGCAGGGTCAGCCCTTTCAAACCCTGTGGGTTAGAATGGGGTGGAAGGGGATGGCGCTTTTCAACGAAGAAGCACTGTGCTTTTATCAGATGAAGGGATGAATACCTAAGTAAGAGATGTTGTACCTACCAGAGAACTTTCTGTATGGTTGTTTTCAGTTCTGTCTTTTGCAGCTGTACTCTGTGCTGACCTCTGATGTTTGTAGAGGAGGCTGAGGCCCTCTCAGGGAGCCCTCCTGGTTTTCTAGCGTCTGGTCAGGAATTGCACCTTTTTACTCCCATTCTTACCAGGAGAAACCTGCTGCTCATCCTCCTCTGCCTAAAACTCTCTACTTCCGTTTGCAAACAAACCCCTGATTTTGGCATTGAGAGCCAGGGCTCCTCTGAGCCTGCTACTCCTCTTACTAGCTGGGCATCTGAAGGCTCTAGATCTCAGCATCTTCATGTATAAAAGAGAATCATAACTGTGCTGCCGCCTAGGGCTGTGGTGAGATTTACATGTTACTACAAGGAAAACACTTCACGCCTGGCTGCTCATAGTTCCATAGATGTGACCTGTAATTATAGTCATGGAATACAAGGCCCCACACAATCTGCTGTGCATTCTGTCCTCAGCCTCATGTCTATCCCTCTTCCTAATTCCCTGACCTCCCCAGCCATATTGGACTCCTCCCCGTGACCTGAGCATACCTTTTTTTCTTCCCTCTACATCTGCTCATGCTCTTCTCTGCAATGCCGTTTCTTCCCTAGCATCTTAAGACCTGGCTCATGTCCTGTTTTCTCTGGGAAACCTCCCCTAGCCACAGTCATCATGACCTGCCATTCCCCACTCTAAGGCTAAGGAATAATTCCCCTTCTTTCATCTTTTCCCAGCACTCAGGGGTATTTCTTTATTATAGCACACCTCAGTGTGTATTTCTATGGGTGTTTTGGGGGTCAGTCTCCACGCACAGGTGTGAGTTTCCTGTGGGCAGGGATGGGTGTTCATCTCACTGCTGTGCATTCTTGGCATGGAGTCCCACACGTAGTAAAATGCTCAGAACTTGTTGGGTGAATGAATGAATAGCCTGTGTACTTGTCTGCATGAAAGCCAGGACCATGTCCAATTTAATCTTTGTTTCCCCAATGCCTGGCACCCAGTAGGTGTTCACTAAATTATCCATGCACATAATTGAAGGATAGATGAGGCAGATGCGTGCAGGTAGGTGAAGCAAGGAAGGGTACGAATGACCCAGGAGAAGGAGAATTTGAACAATGAGATCAGGACCCAAGATGTGGTTCCAAAACTCTGTGGTGGGGAGCTGGACCAGGGAGCTGGGGAAGCCACGGGAGGCCCAGCCTCTTTTCCCTGAGCTGCACTCTTTCCTAGCCGTATGGGAAGGAAGAGACCCCACCCAACCTGAAAAGGGGTATTAACATGCTGGAATGGCTCTAGGAGTATTTCACAGGCTTATCTGTTAATAATAAAAATGAAATTATATGAAAAATACAACAATGTGTGGGTTGCAGGACAAGTTAATGATTTCTCATGTAGTCAGATATGTGCCCCTTTAGTGGAGGCAGGTAATGGCGGTGGTAATAACACCCTGGATCTGTTTATAGCGTCTTTCTTCTGAGGAGCTCAAGGCACTCTATTCTTATCTCATCTCTCTTTCTGACTTCCCAGGGAAGTCGGTCTGATTATCCCCATTTCTCAGGTGCCTGTGTGCTGTGACTCACGCCGCACCTCTGGAGCTCATCCCTTTGTCCCCCAGCCTGGGTGGGGCCCACATGACTCCCTCCTCTCTGAGCACTGTGCCTGGAGCACCCTTACTTCCTGGATGACCAAGAAGGCCTGGCTCACTGTAAAGGGTGCTCTGAACTGCCAGTCTATGGGAGCCAACCACACCATGGAAAGCAGAGGGGCAGGGGACGTGAAGAGAGGAGGGAGGTGGAGGAGGAAGGACCTGAGGGCGGGGGAGGGATGAAAGGTCTGGAGGACTCAGAACACTAGACTGTGCATCCTGAGGTCAGGGGCCATGTCCTGTTTGCCTTCCTATCCCTAGGATGAAGCCCAGTGCATGACATGGCATAGGTACATAGACCAGATATGTGGTTGGTCAGATGACAGGTGGACATGCCATTGTATTTTTCAAGACCCAATTCAAAGATCACCTCTTTGAGAAGCTTTACTTGGCCCTTCCCCCAGGCTACCAACATACCGCTGCTGGACTCATCACCCTGGGAGCCTCTGTTTTTTCTCCTCCTCAGGCAGCTTTGTGGGAGAGTTAACATCTATGTGTCAGATGCTCCATTTGGGTGTCAGTTCCTGGACCAGGCATGAGTCTAAGCTCTACTTACGACCATGATTGGGACTGGCAGACTGGTCGTAACACGATTTGGTCGTAAGTTGAGTAGGCAGTATGTACAGTTGAAATGGTGCACACGGAAATGGTAGTGCTGCCGGAAGCTGGTCCGCACTGTCATACGCCCAGCTGGGCAACGTTTCCGCTGCCAGACGCGGAGCAGTCGTGGCTAGCGATTGCGGTCGTCGAATGGTCGTAAGTTGCATAGGTCGTAAGTTGATCAATACCTGTAATTTGTCTCATATATTTAGGGTCTGTTAGCACAGGACATCTCACATAGTAAGGGTGGGCAGAGGGAGGTAAAGGAAAGGCTGGGGTTTGAAGTCAGAAAGACCCAGATTCCTATGCAGTTTCTGCCTCTTACCACACAGGGTTCCAGTGTTGCTCAGGAAATCCCTTAGCCTCTTTGAGCATGTGCTGCTTTTCCCCTTCCTCATGATAAAATGGAGCTAAGAAAACCCACTTTGCTGGGTGTGGCAAGGCTTATCATGGTGGCACTGCTTGGCAACTCGAACGGGCTCGGTATTCATTTCCTATGATTAATTATAGATTTTGTGGTTTCCAGCACTGGCTTGGCATCAGAACTGCCCTTCTCAGGAATAGACATACTTGGAACCCCCTGGGAAATTCTGAGCCTGTGGGTTTGGGGTGGGGCTGGGATCTGTCTGTTGAAAAGGGTCCTTGGTTATTCTGATGTTGGAGGGTCTCAATGTTTGGAAAATCAAACATATGATTGAATGTAAGGTAGAACATAAGTCCTTGATTTCTCTGATTTCTAGGATTTAGTGAAGGGACAGAATAGGCTCCTTGGTAAAGTGACCTCTTCTAGGTGGCATGCTTGGGGGGTCCAAAAGCTCAAAGCACTTTCTCTTCCTGTCTCATCTCTGCAGGTCCACCCTTGCCCGTGGAAGCAGATGGAATGGAGAGGAATTTCACCCTGGCCTCCTTGACACTAGCCCTGTGACTCAAGTAAGCTGGCCACCTTCTCCGTACTTCATCTTGTCACTTTGTTCAGTAGGCATTCTCCATATTTTACATTTGCAGACCAGATTTGGGTGGCATAAGGGCTCTGTGGACTCTATGACCATCAGTCAAGGGAGTCGCGAGGCATTGCTTGCCTTTGCTAGAATTTCTCAAGTTTACAAAGAATTAGAGATAGAAATGCAAGTTTATAACCATTTAGAACTCCAGCTGGCATCTGACAGACCCCTAAGGGACCTCTATGCAGACTGGGGTGCCCGGCAGGCCTTCTTTCTGAATCAGGGACTTAGAAATCTCCAGTCATTGAAAGGCAGACTCTGTATAAGTCAAGGGGTTGGCAATGCAGAAGGAGCCCTGGTTGTGAGGCCTGGGTCCAGGCTGGACTTGTTGCTGGCTTGCTGTGTGACTCTGTATGGGCCAGAGAGCCTCCCCAGGCCTTGCTTTGACATATGAGCTGAAATTGTTTCTCTAAGGCTTATGATCCTGAAAAGGAATTTGATGTAGTAGAGAAAGGAATTTGTCCCAAGCAGGAGAGCAGTAAATTGTCAACAATGGAAGGTTGGAAAGGCCCATGTCCACAGTACCAGCTGGGAGTCATGGACCACTGGGGCTGCTGAGTCTGGATGTGAGGCTTGTAGGAGACCTTAGCATTACAGAATTGAAAGTGGTAGCAGTGAATGGGGAGTGGGGATTACACAGTGTAAGTCATTTTCTCACATACTATTTTCTTTAGTTTACATGGAATCTGAAGAGATATTATCATGTCATTAGTCAACATTCATCATGACCAAACCATTTTACAGGTGAGAAAACTGAGGCTCAGAGAGGTGAAGGTCCCCAGAGTCTCATGGTAACTTGGTGGTGCCAGGATTTGAATCCACATCTGTCTGACTCTACCACCACCCACTACAGTTGACTTGGGGCAAGAAGGGTATCTCAAAGCATTGGGTTTATTTAGATTCTTTCTGGAGTGGTTCTCTAGATGTTTTTCCCAGGTGAGGCAGGTGCCTTCCCTTTCCTGGGAACAGATCACTCTCAGTGTTTGGGAAGGGAGGGGCTGCAACACGTGATGGGGTCAAAGGCGTTGGGCGCTGTCCCCTGTCATTCCCAGTGGGAAATGGGTCTCCTTCTCAGGAACCTAAGCCAGAGCTAGAAGTCCTGCCTCCGCAGGCAGGATCTCAGGTGATGGCCCTGAACAGGTGATTGTTTTGCAACTAGTCAGGGAGGGTGGACAGGTCTTGAAATCTCAGAAGGCACAGGTTTCCAGACCAGGTATCACTCAGGAGATTCAAAGGGCAGGATTGCGCAAGGACGAGCTCTAATTGGGCCCAGAAAACGAGAAAGTCAGCTTCTTTTCCGTGTACTGTGAGTGAGTCACCTTTCCCAGAAGCCAGGCCGATCTCTGGTTCCTCCTGCAGGCTCACAGTGGCCTGGCCAGGGTGGAGCAGAGAAGGGAAGGTGAGGAGCCAGTGACAACCGCGTCACACTTTGTCTTTTCCATCTCCGTAGGGAGCATAGAGCTTGTGCATTAGACTGGGTTACAGCCCATCACACATGCCCGACCCTCCCCACCCCATCCACCTGTCACAAGGTCACAGCTGAGTACCGAGACTGGCATGGGGCAGATTGCTGTGCCTATGGCACAGAATGGGGGTGTGTGTATAAAAGCCTTGGAAGCCATGGCACAATCTGAGGGGCAGACAAGATTTTTGTTCCCCAATCTCATCTTTCCTGCTTGGTGTAGACAGGCTTCAAAGTCAGACATCTGGGTTCCAATCTCAGCTCTCCCCCTTTATTCCCACCTCCCCAGCCCTTGGATCTCATACTTACAGAGCAACCTGGACAGGTCATTCCAACCTGCTTGAGCCTTAGTTTTCTCATCTGTGTAATGGGGATAACATTACCTGCCTCTCAGAGTTGTGAATTATTAAGCAGATTAAATAGAAGAGGGCTAGGAGGGTAGGGTCTATCATCTGGCAGCCTGGCTTTATTTTTATTTATTTAATTTTTTATTTTTTTTGAGATGGAGTCTTGCTCTGTTACCCAGGCTGGAGTGCAGTGGTGTGATCTCAGCTCACTGCAACCTCTGCCTTCCAGGTTCAAGCAATTCTCATGCCTCACCTCTAGAATAGCTGGGGCTACAGGTGCCTGCCACCACACCCAGCTAATTTTTGTGTTTTTAGTAGACACTGGGTTTTGCCATGTTGGCCAGACTGGTCTCGAACTCCTGGTCTTAAGTGATCTGCCCGCCTTGGCCTCCCAAAGTGTTGGGATTACAGGCATGAGCCACTGTGCCCAGCCAAGGCAGCCCAGCTTTAAACCATAGCCTTCTGTTCCATCACTAACCCTCTGACTAATCCTACCCCTCCTGACTTCAGGCTGATCAGTTATAAAGTACAGCTCCCTCATGGAGCTGCTGTAAGGATCAAATAAGATATTGCTCTTGGCCTGTATAAGGCAACCAGCAAAAGTGTTAATTGTCTTCTCCATTCAGCCTCGTTTCCTCACGATTTTGCTGAGAAAAGAGAGTTGGATCTGAAGATGTCAAATTATTCCGGAGGTTGATCTTTCCTAGGTTCCTAGTTTAGGAAATGGGATGAGAATAGCACATATCTCATAAAGTTGTTGCGAGGCTAATTGAGTTGATATGAGTACCAGGAAGTGTCCCATAAATGTCAGCTTCATGGCTGGCTATATATAGTTCTTCTTTCTGCTGGTGATGCAGCCGTGGCTGGTGCCTTGGCCCTAGTGATCGGGGCTGAGGTGACTCACCCTGCAGTGACAGGTCTGGGTAGTGGCGAGCGAAGCTGGTTGGGCAGGGGCAGCCAGGTCCTTACTGTGCCTCAGGGAACAGCTAGGACATTACTTTCTAATAGAGCTTGCCTTTGGTCTTGGCCAGTTCCAGGAAGGCCGGAAAAAGGAATGCCTGTGACCATCAGGCCAGAGGGAAATGGGATGCTCCTACATTTTGTCATGGCTGAGGAAGCAGATGAGGACCACAGCAGAGCAGATGGGGGTCTTTTAGTGGACGTCTTTTAGTCTTTTAGTGGACCACCTAGGAGGCCACAGCTGGACGGCAGCTGGGAAAACACTCCAACTTCATCGTGTGGGGTAGTAGGCACTGGGCAGATGTTGCAGACCCTGCTTATGGCTAAGGCAGACAAGATGCGCTTTTTTCTAGGGAGCTGACAGAGTGTGGGTTCCATTGCCCCAAAGAGTCCAGCACTCTTTCCAATGACATCATGTGTGCCCAGAGTCATGGACCCCTGCCCTGGGAGCTCACCATCAACTCATGGCGGATGGCCAGCTGGATGCTCAGGGACCACAGAGGAAGGAGAGAGATTCAGAGAAAGTTTGTGGAAGAGGCAACATGTAAGCCAGGCTCTTTAGGAGGAGATGGGGAAGAAAGTCATTGTCCCCACTTCCCCATCCCCACCTCATGTCTCCACCTCTACCAGCTGCAATCTAGCTTCCCTTACACATGGAACTACTCTTGTCAGGGTCATCAGTGACCTTCTGTGGTCAATCCAAAGGGCGCATCATGGTCCTGCTCTTAACTAATATGGGGGTAGGTCACATTTGACGCTGTAGCTCACTTCTCCCTGGACTCCTGGTCCTGCTCTTAACTAATATGGGGGTAGGTCACATTTGACGCTGTAGCTCACTTCTCCCTGGACTCCTGGTTCTGCTCTTAACTAATGTGGGGGTCACATTTGACGCTGTAGCTCACTTCTCCCTGGACTCCTGGTTCTGCTCTTAACTAATATGGGGGTAGGTCACATTTGACGCTGTAGCTCACTTCTCCCTGGACTCCTGGTTCTGCTCTTACCTTCTTAGTTTCCCTTGTGATCTCACCTTTCTCTGTTACTTATCATTTATCCATCTGCCCACCCATCCATTCATCCACTTGTCTATTGATCTACCTACCTACCTGTCTGTCTGTCCATCCATCCATCCATCCATCCATCCACCTACACACCCATTCACTTATTCTACCTACCTACCTGCCTACCTTATCTTTGTAATTAAGGAGAATTTAATGAAGGTGCTACTTATAAAAGTGTGACAGAATTAAGGGAATCTAACAAGAGATAGTGCAGCACTCCAGTACTGACCATATTAGAAAGTCATTTGCAGCCCTAGGCCTGAAGATCAAGTGGCTTTCAGAACCCAGAGCGTGAAGCTATAAGAGGGCTTACCGTTGGGAGCTGGGTCCTTCAGCCTGGGGACACGGCCAACAAGGGGTGTAAACACCGGACTCGACTCTCCTCCCCACGGTGATGTGACTCCCTGAGGTCAGCCTGCTGTGTCCTTTCCTGTGACACTGGCCTGCTGCTGGCTCAGAGTGCCCCTCCTTTCTTCTCACATTCTCTCCTGAGGACTCTCCTTTACTCCAGTGGCTGATGTCCCCCGAGTTGCTAGCTCTGGCCCAGACTCCCCTCCTGACCACCTACCTGAACACCCAACTCTCTACTCACTGGACCCCTGCAGCTGTCCCTTATATGTCACAGGCCTAGTCTCCCGCAGAAGTCATGGTTTTTCCCCAGGCTGTTTATCTCCTGTGTTCCCTGTCGGTGTGAATGGCCATTCTCCTTGTCATCTGAGTCAATAGCTGGGACTCATTCCTGCTCCAGTACCTTCTTTACTCTCTATAGCCATTGCCAAGTCCTGTCCAATCCACACCCAGAGATGACAGATGCATCCCTTCCTCCCATCCTCACTCCGTGTGCTTTTGCTTAAGTTCTTCTCATCTCCTGCACTCTGGATCACCACAATCACTTCCTAATTAACCTCCCGATTCCTATCTCACATCCTATGTCAGGGGCTGCTGGTTGTCTCTTAAGGCCCATCATTCTTTCTCCATTCCTTAGTTATACCCAATTTTTGGTTAGGTATGTGCTCAGTGATCTAAAAGACAAATTTGCCAGACTTTCTTGTGGCTAAAATTGGCCAAATGACTAAGTTCTATCAGAAGATATGGGCCAGGT